GTCCTTCTTGGGGCTATCACAAGAGGTCATCGGAGGAGCCGGGGAGGGAGGGAGTGGGAGGTCGATCTGCCAGTGGGTAGAGGTACCATGATGGCCAGCCTGCTTCTCCCCCTGCAGCTCAGCAAGTGCGAGAGGCAGCCAGCAAGAAATTCCAGCCAGACTGCAAATTTTCCTGGCTCTGTGTGACCGTCCTAAGCCTTCTGCTGCTCCTCCTCCTGGCCTTGCTTGTAGGCATCCTAGTCACCTACCGTAAGTTCGGGAATGAGGGGTGGGGTTTTGGAGGGGCATTCCTGCAATTTAAGCCCATTCTGGGCCAATACAGGCTTGCATCACAATGTCTCCCTGAAGCTGTGTGGGTAATAAAGGCAGGGCATCTGGGCTGGGTCTGCCCTTTGCTCCTTTCCTGCTACCTGGACCCCAAAGGCCTTGCACTTTAATTCTAGGACGTCAACACTCTTGAACACACAGAGGAATTTATTTTCAGCCCAAATAGGCTGGGAAAGCCAGTTCTCTCCAAGTCAGCAGCTACGTGGACAGATGTCCATCGGATCTTCTAGTGGACCTCGGTCTTGAAGGGCCATCCTTTTTTCCTCCACCCCCTATGGTTGCAGCTCTAAGCCAGTGTTCCTCAACCTTGGCAGCTTGAAGACGGGTGGACTTCAACTCCCAGAATTCCCCAGTCAGCTGTGCTGGCTGGAGAATTCTGGGAATTGAAGTCCACCCGTCTTCAAGCTGCCAAGGTTGGGAAACACTGAATTAGCTTAGCTGGCTGGGGAATTCTGGGAGTTGAAGTCCACCCGTTTTCAAGCTGCCAAGGTTGAGGAGCACTGCCCTGACCAATGGATCTGTTGTCTTCCCATGAGCAAACAACTCCTTTTTCCATTATTAGCCACTCCAGCTGAAGTGGGTGGGAGCCGAACTGGGAGAACGGGACTGGGAATGGGAAGATGACTGGGTGAATGGGACTGCCCCACTCCCTTCTCGCCTAAACTCCTGTCTCCCAGCAGGCAGGGATCCTGTTTGCAGGTGGTGGGGTGTAAAATAGGAGCTGTGATTGATCTGGTGAAGGGTGGATTTCTTGGCAGGTTCATGACTCAGAGTGATTAATTCTCTCCAAAAGCTTAAGTCTCAGATATTATTCCTTGTTCTTTATTTTTTTTAATTTTTTTTTTTAAAAAAGGCACATTTTGACTTTCAGGAGTCTTGTTGTAGACGAACCAGGTTGAAAAAGGCAGGGAGGGGTGAGAACTGAGGAATGCAGCTTTTGAGATCAAATTTGTCTTAATGTTGGTGTCTTTATTCTTTTCCTCAACAATTTCTCTCTCGCTTTTTTTCTTCTCTTGGAGGCAGAGCTCAAGTCCCCTCCTCCAAGTAAGCCCACTCTTGAGACTTTCCTTGGGCACAACGTCGCCAATGCTACCTTGTCCTCGGTCAGGGGGGCTTCTGGGGACCCTGCCTTCACCACTTCCCCATCCCAACCGGAACGGCAGGGAACCACAAAACCAGGAGCCCGTGAGTACCGGTTGCTGGTGAGGCTGTTTCTCTCACCTGGATTCTCTGACCTGGGGGTTGTGATTGTGGTGCTCCAAGCCAGACACTGGGCCACATAAAGACCAGCTGCCATTTGAGAGCTGACAACGAAAAACAGACTTTCTCCAACTAACAAAGACTTGACTTCATTGGATAAATAGCCTAGAGCAGGGCTTTTCAACCTTTTCACCCATTGTACCACTTTTAGGATATGGCAACATCCGAGTACCACCAGTCGCCTAGCAAGGTGTCAAAAACTTGATGACCCCCCCAAAAAAGGAAAAAAAGTGATAAAGTACAGGTAGTCCTCGACTTACAACAGTTCACTTAGTGACTGTTCGAAGTTACAATGGCACTGGCGTTACAATGGCGTCTGCTGGGTGGTTGCAGCAGTTTTTGGTCACTTCACATGACCCTGGGACACTGTTACCATCATAAATATGAATCAGTTGCCAAGCAGACTGAATGTAAATCGCAAGACCCTGGAGATACTGCAACATTCCAGCTGATTGGCGCTTCTTCTGGGCTCAGCGGAAGCGCCAGGATCAGCACCGAGCTCCAGCTGGAGCCTGGCACTGATCCTGGCGCTTCCACTGAGCTCTGACAGCCCCAAAGAAGCGCCGATCAGCTGGAAAGCGGCACTGATCCTAGCGCTTCCGCTGAGCCCTGACAGCCCTGCAGCTCCAACCATCTCTCGCTCAGGCTTGTGTGGTGCTGCCACCGGTTCAGCTCATTCCCCTCCCCTGCTATCACTTTTCTAGGATGGCCGCGTACCACCTGCCAGGTGCCAATGTACCACAGGTGGTACCCATACCACTGGTTGAAAAGCCCTGGCCTAGAGAGAGTAATATATAGAACACTTATTCCATTCTTATGAATCAATGTATTTTAAAATGTAGCCTATAGTTTATATATAATTTCTTGAATTCCTCAAATCTTACAACATGGACTGCACATTACCATCACGTGTGTACCATAGTATTATGTGCTTCTTCTACATAATCTTATTACTATTATCCATGAGCTATATGCCAGTGGTGCTCAACCTTTTCTCCACCATGGACCCCCTTTAAATACCTTTCGTGGCCACGGACCATGACCATGAACCCCCCAAGACTACTTAACTCAAGATCTAAATAATAAAATTTCTTCATGCTTTCGTGGACCCCCTGTGATGACATTGTGGGGGCACCCGGCATCCATGGATCACAGGTTGACACCCCTGCTCTATGCCATACACTAAATAAGCTCACAACACACTATGAGCTTAATCAATCAATCAATCAATCAATCAATCAATCTGATGTGGCGTCCTCTGAATGGCGTCTACCCACCATCATTCCCACCCAGCCAGGCCAGTGCTAGAAACTGCAATCCAATATTTGGAAAACATCATGGAAAATATTTACCTTGGCTGAATCTAGGCTGTGTCCTCACGGTGCCTTTCTTTGTAAACTTCCCAACCATGTTCACAACACACACTGAGCTTTTTTCTTTTTTTCTTTTTTTTTGCAAAACGTGTGTTTGACTTGTCCTCACTGGCCGGACTTGTGGAGGATGAAGGCTGTGCCTTCACATCTCTGAAAGAGATGAGGTTATGGAGATGTTCCTTGCCTGGTCTTCTTCAGTTGAGTCTAACCAAGCTGCTGCTCTAACTTAAGATATGCTTCTCTAAACGGTTGCTTCATTCTCCACCTTCTTCTTTTGTAGTGTGTGGAGGCGAACTTGGAGGCCCCAAGGGCACCTTCAGCTCTCCCAACTATCCCGATCCATACCCACCTAACGTCCTCTGCCACTGGCACATCCAAGTGAAGATGGGGATGGTGATTCAGCTGAAAATAGAGACTCTGGATGTGGAGGCCTCGGACTTCTGCTTCTATGATCGGCTGGAGATCTACGAGGAATCAGATAGTCTCTCTCTTTGGGATGGGAGTACTAGGTAAGTAGCATGCCTCCGAGAGGAGAAGGCCTGGACCTCTCTGCGTGTCTATATGTGTTTAGCTGCTACTATGGGACCACCAGATGGGTTGGAGGCCTGAATCTCTCTGTGTATCCATGTGCATTTAGCTACTATCTGGGGCCCTTCAAATGGGTTGGACTTTAGCTTCCTAGATCCTCCATTCAAATAATTGAAACAAGCTAACATCCAGAAACTATCTGCATTTTAAGGGCTTCACTGTTGAACTGGATAAGAGCAATGCAAAAAAACAGATCCGGTAATCAAGTAGGACAGAAGGAAGATTATTTATTCTTGCCGATGGGCCCTCTGGTGGTGCGAATTGGAAATGTTTGGTTACTTATTCATTGATTTGTACATTCGTTTTATTTTTATACCGTCCAATCCACCAAGAGCCAATCAAATTCTCCAAGATTAATAAGGAACGAGCAGGAGGCAATTAACCTCCATGCTCGTTGTCTCAAGTGGGATGTCTTAATCTTTCAAATGTCATTACTTTTCTGCATTTTGCTTTTGAACCTTATAAATCCCCTTGGAAGGATAGTTTTTAATTGGTAATAAAAAAAAAACCCTCACCTCTCCTTAATTTCTCCTGGTTACAAACACGTTGACATGAAAAATAATCCAATGCAACGTTTAGCCCCCTTTGGTGTTGTCTTCTTCAGTCCTAAAATCTAACTACGTTTCACAACGGAGAATACTTGACGGAGGGGATGGTCAGGCCTGAAAGAGTCAAAGGAAAAGTGGAAAAGTTAAGCCACTAAGTGCAATCACAACGGTGCTTGTGATCTTTTTTCAGCTTTGTTGTGCAGATCTGTGTGGGTTGTAAATGTGAGGACTGGTCGTTTCAATATTGTCACAACTGTGAATGGTCACTAAAGGAGAACTACTTGCAGATATCTTTCCAGGGGGAAGGAGGGGGTTCACCGCTCCTTGCTCCCTTGCTTACCTGGTGACTTTTACAGGTACTGTGGCAAGGTAGCCCCGGCGACTATCAACACCAACTCTAACCAGATTAAAGTTGGTTTTGTGTCCGATGATAACATTGCTCCTTCGGGGTTCACAGCCAGGTACCGGGCCATCCTCCCCAGTGAAAGTAAGTGCCGGCTGTTTCTTGAATGGGGATGAATTTGAGGCTGGTGGAAACTTGCTTGAGGGGGGGGGGGAAGTTGGGGAGGTTTTTTTTTTTAACATGATATCCTGATTTTCTGTCCCTGAAGTAATGGGAATGACTTTGAAGAGACTGAAACCATGCAACTTCCAATGACATTTAAAAAAAAAACAAAAACCAGCCACTGACCAGATAGGGGTGTCAAACTGCCGGCCCACGGGCCAGATGCATCACGCCGAAACCGCGCCCATCCCATTGCCAGCAATGGGGGAAAAGTCCCAATACGTTGTGACACGTCACATGATGTTGCGAGTTTGACACCCCTGAGGTAGAAGACAATATTTAAACCCATAAGTGCAATAAAACAGCCCAATATGACCAGGGAAAGGGTTAGAGCTGATCTCTCTGCCAGTCAAATAGGAAAAAAATGGAAGACGTGTTTTATATACGGTTGCTCTCTCAGTTAAGGGGTCCCCAACTTTGGCAACTTGGCTGGCTGAGGAATTCTGGGAGTGGAAGTCCGTAAGTCTTAAAGTTGCCAAGGTTGGAGGCCCCTGCTTTAAAGTGTGGAGAAGTGAAGATATAAAGCGGGTCTCCAAAGATGACCCCAAATATATTTTGATCTTCTTGAGATGTCCTCTTATGTCCAGCTATATAGCAAAGATTAGCTCCCTGAACCGAAATAACTTAGCATCAGCTTTAAGAAGAGATGTAAACTGTTGGGTATCAAATGCAACATGGTTGGGAATGGAGATTGGAGAAGAAGACCCCGGCTCAGGATACAGCCCTCTCCCCAGATATCAGCTGCCCAAGGGAAGACTGATTTATCTCAAAACAAAGACAACGGTTGTCCCTTTTCCCAAATGGGAAAACTGCCCTAACATTCACAATTAGCCCAGCACTAATTTATTACTCACAGTCACATGGATGCAATGGCTAATTTTATCCTCAGAACATGAGAAAGTTCTAAACTGGTGAGGGGAAACAAAAGACTGCTTGCATGACAGTTTTTAAGCTGGCTTAAAATCTTTTGACATTAGGTAAAATAAAGAATGAGTGTTACATGACTATCACGAGTCAAACAACTACAGGATTAGTACTTTTCTTTCTCTTTCTCCTCCTCCTCCTCCTCCCTTCTTGCTTTTTCTCCTTCTCCTTCATACTCTTGCAAAGCTACATTTCCCAAAGTATCTTGAAGAAGAAGGGAGCCAAGTCAATTGCAACCATTTTCAAGATAGGCTGAATTTGATCTGAACCTTTAACTCCTTGACTTCCAGAGGCCTATATTTATTCCAGAGAACTGCTCCTGGGATGAATTCTTGTGTGACCAGGGACTTTGCCTCCTTCCAGTCTTTGTGTGTGATGGTCACCAGGACTGCAAGGACAATCGAGATGAAGCCAATTGTAGCGCCAAGCATACAGGTATGGTAACCACACAGGCAGGAAACATTGCTGTGACTCTGCCTCACATTAGGAGGAGAAGAGAGGAAATTGGAAAAATAAAGGAACTGCAGGCTATTGCAGATATAACCAGCAAAGTGCCAGTAATATAAATCCATGACGATCTATGATGTTGGTTGTCTCTTTCCAGGTTGTGGCGGGACCTTGACCAGCCTGGAGGGACAGTTCTTCTCCCCAAACTATCCCAAACCATACCCACATCTACAGGTGCGGAAAGACTTTTGGGGGGG